GAATTGCGTCATGATACTCTTTTTTTTTTCTCGCAGACGTTGCACAACTGACACTACTGAGCAGCCTCTGAAATCAGAAGCAATTCACGCGCATTCGGGCAATTAAAAAATGGCGACAATTTATCCCTCGCACCCTGTATATACACACAGACCCACACACACAGAAACATTCACATCTGGTTTAAGGAGGTGGAAATTTTGTGCTTTCATATATTTCTGTTTATTCTTTACATTTTATGTGAAGACCATTAGATTGTTTTCCAGGAAGAGTTGGAACAATTTCAAATTTTACCAGTGAGGGTGAAACATTTTGTGAATTACTAACTTCACACAACGGTGCATTAATCAACTTTAATATCGGGAACCTTTGTTTTCAGCGGAGCTGACCTGCTGAGGCCAGGCATATAATGGCCTCACTCATGGAAATAAAGAAAGAGGCATCAAAACAGGCAATCAGTCTTGTGTATCAGATTATTGACAATAGAAGAATGTCTTACAGCCTAAAATTTCAAATCGGTTATGCCCAAACATATAAAAAAAACAGGTCTACCAAGCTTAGATTAGATTGCACAAAAGCAGGCACCAGGTGACAGGAAGTATATAAGCATTCCACCCGAGAAAACCTCAGGCCTCGACACTTCGTCGGAAATTCACGAAAGGTCAACGTTCGAAGTAATTCCCTCTAATCTCACACTCTCTCGCTGACATTAATTCGCGATGCGCAGAATTGAATAATCAATAATGTTTTGTATGAAACACTTGTCTCGTATTCTTCTTAATCTTTACAACCGATGAAGTTACAAATACATCTAATGTGTTGTTTCTTAAATTGAATTAGAATTTTATTGATTTTGCTTTTAGGTGAACTCTCTCTCTCTCTCTCTCTCTCTCTCTATATATATATATATATATATATATATATATATATATATATATATATATATATATATAAATATAACAAATGAAATCAGAGAAATCTGATGAAAATAAGTCCGAAACCAACTAAAAAAATGGCTACCTAACTGAACCATTTGATATTCACTTATAAAAACGAAAACGTCTTAGAATATATAGTGCATTATATTTTCAAACCCGGGCGGAAGCAAGGAAAAGTGTCCTAAAAGACCAAAAATAATCTGACAATACAAAAAAAAACAAAACAAAAAAAAATTATCATCAGCTTCAGGAAATATTTAAAAATTAAAAATTGTTGCCCAACTAAACCAATTATATTCGAGACTCAAACGCGCACACATATTTATACGACTAATGAATTGTCCCTCATCATTAAACACAGCTTGTAAACTCAAACAAAACCTGACAATTTCCACGTGCACGATTTTCTGAGTTGTACCAATCGATGATTATGTGTAGTTATTGCCAACGGCTTAGTGTTAGAATCCCCGACTGATGCCAATTCAGTGGAGTTTCGATCCTAGCTAGAGGCAACCAGACGTCTAGCCAGACTGATGAGCTGCGAAACAGTCTGGCTGCGGATGACTATATATATATATATATATATATATATATATATATATATATATATAAATAAAAACTATATGTGATTTGTAGGCAATTTTTTGGGGGAGATAGATAAAATATGGTATGTTAATACAAGACCCTTTACAATTATAGAAAGTCATTTTCACACTTCAGTGTGACATTTGGACTAAGTTGTAGCTACATTAATCTTACTGTAGTTTAACTGCGAAGGATTTTGCACGGCCTAACCCTGACTTTCAGTCCACTATCAGCCCTTGAAATTTTATAGCTCGAATTTTATACAGTTACATTTCCATATAGATATATAGATACAACCATGGTTTATTCTAAACACTTAGAATGCTTTTATATGCATTTGGGTATGAATCAAACCGATTTAATAATTCCTATTATGCGGAAAATATTAAATACCTCACGGTAAGTAGACATATATAAGCGTGTGTTTAATTTATTTGCAATGTGGAGCGATATAGTGATTACAATGATAAATGAAGAAGCCGATAATCTTATTTCAATCTGTGATATGAATTATAAACATGGCTGAAATCTTAATCGTATTAACGATATGCAAATGCTCCCTTTTTAGACAATCTCAATTACAAAAGTTAAATCGACCCAAATTAACAGCAAGTGATAGTTGAAATCATCTGTAGATATCGTGAGCTCCAAGAATTTTTCCACTGCCAAGTTTCGTCGACTAAAGAGGAACAGGGTGACTGGAAAAAAATGGACTGAATATGTTCCTGGGTGAATTGGAAGATCATTCACAGAGACTCAGACATTGGCAAGCAATTGAGACTTTTGAAGTGGGCTGGTAAGGTGCTAAAATCCACACCTACCCAACGGCCACACTCACTCTATCGGGAGATTGGCCGTAATGGTTTTGAGGATGATGCTGCAATTCATTCATGATCCACCACAATGCTCTATCTCCAAGACTTAGCTTTCTTCATCCAGAAATAAAAGGTATTCCAATAACTTGGACTGATTTTAAATGTGAATTAAGTTTAAGCGCCTAATGAATATTTTTCTTTTTCTTTCCGATTGGCGGACATTTGGGCGATTATTTCTCACCCATAGTTGCCATGATTAAATGACATGATACAATAGAGAGATAAATTAATTGTCACCAATAACAGAGATTTATTTACTGCTGACTTTGATCCGTCTTAATGAAACACCCTTATATATAATCCGTCTTAATGAAACACCGTTTATATCATGATTCTAAACAAGGGGGGGATATATAAATAGGCAAGATTCGATTATAATTTGAAAACAACAGGAAATACTGGGGATGTTGGAAGGCAGAAAGTTTTAAATTTAATTTTTACGAAATGTCGGGCATGAATTTAGTGTACTGTTTTGTAAAGGGTCTCTTTTGTGTTCATATAATATTTTATTTAAATTTTTCGAGGTTTCTCCTGTGTATTTCTTTGCAACAATTATTGCAGGTCTTTGTACAGAATCTTTCACGTTTTAGCTTATTATTATTATGTTTTGTATTGGGTCTTTTGTTTTTTAGATGTCATTTTAAATAATCTTATTTTTAGCTTGCATAAAGTATTTCCAGTTTTAGTTATAATAGATACTTAAGTAAAATATATCTTTTCTCCATTCTTCAATGTCTATAAATACTCACGTAAAAGATTCATTCTGATCTAAGTGGGACATTGTATAGTCTTCCAAACGTCATGGAACCTGTGTCCAAGGACATACACCACTCGCACTACCAGTGGAGCAATTCGATGTGACTTCAATTTCGTAAGAGGTTGGAATAACCTTTTCAATGATGACAGCTCCGTCATTAGCTCAGGTCTGTCGGATATGATAGCCACACTATTTGTCGCAGATCGCTAAAAAATACTCCTACAACCAATTTTAAGTAAAAAGAGATTAAGTATAATGTGTATTGCCCTGGTGGTATAACCAATCGTTGTTGGAGACCATTCAAAGATAAAATCAAATTAGCATAACGGTCATCGGCTATTGAGATGTTAAGCGGACCATCAGACACAAACAAAATCACTGTGACTCAACCGTCATATCATAAGTTTTGCTGAAGACTAAGTTTTCATGGTCTGGGCTATATGGCATTATTTAAAACTAAGATCACCCTAGAATTTTGAATCGTAATTAAGCAAAAGCTTTCAATCGTAATCAGTTTGTTAGTATCAAATCAACATCTTCACGGGACCAAAGTGAAGCACTTGACTTCCGGTGTGGTTGCTTTCACCACAGGCCCAGGGGTGGTCAGACGTTACCAGGGAGTTTCACAAATCCTCCAAAGTGCGATAACGTTCATTTGATAACACAGCCATTGGAAACTCCAATTAATTCTCAAAAGCACCAGCGGAAATACAGGCTGTGATTTTTATCTAATTTTAAACTTTCTTGATAACGACTTAAGCCAGCCTATTCCTCGAAAAGGTACCAAGAACTGACACGAAGTGTAAGCACTTCATTCACACGTTTAAAGCCATTATACGGAAACTAATCCGCCAAAGAGTAAAACATTTATATTAAATCGTCAATCGTTATTGAATCGATACTTAAAGAGTCTAAACTATGTTTATCTAAAACAAACGATATATGCGTAAAAGGTTCTTAAATCGACAAATAATATGGCATATGTAATTCGACAGACCTGATCTAATTACGGAGCTGTCATCACTCAAAAGGTTATTCCAAACTCTTACGAAATTTCAGCTACATCGAATTGGTTTATGACATTGAACACAGGTTTCATGACGTTCGGCTGACTGAAGAATGTCCACTTAGATAAGAATGAATGTTTTACGTCAGTAGTTATAGAAATGGAAGAACAGAGAAAAGGTATATTTTAGTGAACTATCTATTATGACTACAATTGAAATACTTTATACAAGCGTAAAATAAGATTGTTTAAAATTACATCTAAAACAATAAGTGACTCGATACAAAAATGATAACCTAAAACGTGAAGGATTCTGTACAAAGACCTGTAATGATTGTTATCAGAAATACTCAGGAGAAACCCCAAGAAATTTAAATTAAGTATTATATGAAGACAAAAGAGATAATTTAAAAAAACAGTACACTAGACTTATGCCCGACACTTCGTAAAAATTAAATTTAAAACTTTCTGCGTTCCAACATCCTCAGTATTTCCTGTTGTTGATTAATTAAAATCGAATCTTGCCTATATATGTATCGGCCTTGTTTAGAATCTTGATATAAAGGATGTTTCATTAAGATGGATCAAAGTCAGCTGTAAATATATCACTGTTATTGATGACAATTTATTTATCTCTCTATTGGATCATGTTATTTAAGTCATTGCAATTATGGGTGAAAAATAATATCGTCCAAGTGTCCGCCAAATCTGAAAGAAAAAGAAAGACAATCATTAGACGCTTAAACTTAATTCACATTTAGAATCGGTCTAGGTTATTGGAATACCTTTTATTTCAGGATGAAGAAAGCTCAGTAATGGAGATAGATCATTGTGGTGGATCATGAATGAATTGCTACATCATCATCAAAACCATTATGGCCAATCCACAGATAGGGTAGGTTTGGCCGTTGGGTGACTCTAGTGTTTAAAATATAAAATTAAATCTAAAACACTAAGACACTCAATACAAAAACATAATAATAATAATAAGGTAAAACATGAAGGATTCTGTACAAAACCTGTAATGATTGTTTCCATTAGTACACAGGAGAAACCTCGAAAAAGTTAATAAAATATTATATGAACACAAAAGAGATCATTTACAAAAAAGAACATTAAAACCATGCCCGACACATCGTAAAAATTAGGAATCAACAATATAGTGTCTACTAAACACATAATTACAAATGTACATTCCTATCTGAACCCCACATAGACAAATTATAGTTATTATACATTTACAAACAAAGTAATAGTTACAATTTTTCAGAAAAGCTTGGAATCCGTTACTTTCTTGAAACTTCGAATGGATGAATCGTCTTTCCTTCAATTCCGAACGCAACAAATTCACTATTGTGCAAATTAATTGAAAAAAAAAAAAATTATTTTAGTTTCCTTTCCGGTTACTTTTAGACCCACTGGAGTGAATGGGTGTAATCGATTTCTAGTTTTTTCTCAGATTAGTTCATTTGCAGTAGTGTACAGTAATATGAATCAATTTTCGGGGTGTATGATGAAATTAGTTTGGTCGTGAAAAATAGTACGTCGGCAGTCATTGTATCAGATTTTCATCAAGCACAGACACTATTGTCTCGACTGTCGATTAGCTGTCCTATAGACATTGTCAGCAATGGACGTTATCCCAAGGAGCGTACGAAAATTATAACGCAGCATCAATAAAATAGCAAGCCTTACTAGTGAGCAAATCAAAGTAGTATCCGCTGCCTCGGAAACTCTCCTGATTTAAATCCAATCGAGTATCCATGGTCAGTCTGAAATGGAAACACTTCGTAGAATGAACATATGAAGTACTAATATGTGCACTGGGTTATGTTTCATTGGAAATATACGAAAAATGTAAATAATAAGGGAATTATTCGTTTTGCTTTAATTAATTTGCACCAGGGTGTATATATATACGTTGGTATAAAAAGTCGAATGTATGTGAAACATGAGTAAGACAAAAGTAAAAGCAACATAATTTCTTTCTTCATTTTCTCTGTATCTAATTCTCTGATGGAAGTATAATAAAAGTGAAAAATATTAAATTTATAAACGTTTCCTATTTGTTATTTATCTTATCGTTCTGTCGGATTCTGATCCATATTTGATTTTATCGCAACTTATCTATCTATCTATCTATCTATCTATCTATCTATCTATCTCAGTCTGTTCTTATCTATCTATCTATCTATCTATCTATCTATATATATATATATCCATATATATATCTGTCTGTCTGTCTGTCTGCGTGTCTCAGTCTGTTCATATTTATCTCTCTCAATCTGTTCATATCTATCTATCTATCTATCCGTCTGTCTGTCTTAGTCTGTTCATATCTATCTATCTATCTCAGTCTGTTCATATCTATCTATCTATGTATCTATCTCAGTCTGTTCATATCTATCTATCTATCTATCTATCTATCTATCTATCTATCTATCTGCCTTTTGTCTTTTCTATCTGTTCATATCTATCTATCTATCTATCTATCTATCTATATCTATCTATCATCTATCTATCTATCTATCTTCTATCTATCTATCTATCTAGTTCTGTTCAATCTTCTATCTATCTATTTCTATCTGTCTTTCTGTCATTGTCTTTCATTCATCTATCTATCTATCTATCTATGTCTGTTCATATCTATCTATCTATCTATCTATCTATCTATCTATCATAATCTCATTTCTCCATTTCAATTTTTCATCTTATTCAAAAAGAACTATCTGAAAAAAACTTTCTCTATCTATCTATCTATCTATCTATCTATCTATGTCTGTTCATATCTATCTATCTATCTATCTATCTATCTGTTAATATCTATCTATCTATGTCTGTTAATATCTATCTATCATAATCTCATATTTCTCAGCATATTTCCGTTTTTCATGCTTATTCAGCGAGAACTATCTGAAACAGACTTTCTATCTATCTATCTATCTATCTAGGAAAGAATGAAAATGGAAACTTCTATGAGGGAGGTTGCGTGTGCGATGCTATTACAATTGTGTATTTATATTGTTATATTATATGTTATTATACAGTGATCTGGTATTTGCTGTTCCGCGACACCAATCCCTAATGTTATGCGTAAGGCTCAATAATATTTAAAGTGCAAACCCTTTAATCAATATAAATTCACACACATCCAACTAACAACAATGAATGCAGAAATATACGAAGAAGTTATCTACCACGAATAGACAGCTTCCGTAAACTTGAAAAAATCTATTACGGCGAATATGACAAACTTGTGAAAGCTATTTAGATGAATAGAGAAAAAAAAAAACCTTTTCAAGGGAAACCTATTAAGGATATGCGGTTGTTGAGAGTAAAGAAAAATGGTTATAAATGATATGTGCAAGCGAACGAACGCACACACTTAAAGATGCATATAAATACGCAGTTACGGACACACACATACATAGATGCGTGCGCGCGCACACACACTCACACATATATAAAAATTACATTACAAACATACACACATATATTGAAATTACGTATCATACACAAACACACGCACACAGGTACACTTACGCGTAATCATACATGGGTGTGCGCACAAAGACACAGTCACATTTATATATATATATATATATATATATATATATATATATATATATATATATATATATACATCATCGCAAACACACACAGAAATATTCAAATTACGAACTCCTTTCCACACACGCCCTCACACACACATAGAAAATAATATTAAAATAATATTTTAAATAATATATATATATATATATATATATATATATATATATATATATAATATAAATATCCATTTTGTATCAACACTTCCTGATGTCTTGTCAAACAAAATGACTATTTTGTAGTGATGTTATACCATCTTTTCTGTTATAATTTTGAATAAATACTATTTGCTATATTCAATCGGATACTCAAACAACTTTATACTGCATACGCTCGCTATATGTAAATATTATAATATAGGAAATTCAAAGCTGACAACCTCATACTACTAATAAACAAGGTACTTAAGAAATCTAAAACCAACCAATTCCTCTCTCCAACATGAGATTCTGTTCTTTGTCATGAGGAAAATACACAACATAAATGCATTGGCTACATGATAAACAATTTAATTCGATACCTGTGTATCCTCTTGAGTGAGGTTAGATCCATAACGAAGCAATTTCACACTGCTTTCTAAATTCTTGTACCCATGAGAAAATTCCTTCCAGCCAGCATATCTTGTACTCTTAAATGACCGTATTTAGAATAATAAACATTTTTATAACTCAAGATGTATACATGAAACAATCCATATATTCAGTTAAAAGCAAAAGAAAATTTATCCAAGATAATGATTAAAATTATAGTCGAAAGCGATTGTAAATATAAAAAATTCCCAATAATTTCATTCCAATTTATATTCTGAAAAGAAAAAAAAAATCACATTAAAAATTATGTAAAGAAAACTTAACCAGTGCACCTTGTCATTCGCTTCTAACAAAACTTGTATAAAAATGGCATTGCTACCCCAATACAATATATATATATATATATATATATATATATATATATATATATATAATATCAATAAGAACACCGGATTATATATCTTACTGTTATCTTTTATATATATATATATATATATATATATATATATATATATATATATATTTTGAACAATAAGAAAATTAAAAATTAAAAATTAAAATCATTAGACACACTGGGTTGTAGATTAATATTCTTTCGTTTTTTATTATTATTATTATTCCATTTAAATTCCTCGACTAGTTTCGACCGAAATGGCCATCATCAGGAGGCGAAATATTTCTGCTTGCTGTTAGGCAAGGAACTACAGAAAAATGAATGTCTTTTTGTTGGAGAAATGAACTTTTGTCTGTAGTTTTCATTTGTTTTTTATTTTTTATCTTTTTCACATGAATCTTTTAACATTCCTTGTGTTGGTCAAACAGTCTCTTTTAAGTTGTTATTTGAGATAAGAACTGGATGGATACATTTTATCCTGAATTCTCTGGTCAGTTTGACAGTTTTATTGGACCTGGTGAGGGATGTGTCTCTGTTTAGTGTTTGTGTGTGTGTTATTTGGTTCTTAGGGGTGAGTGAGTATGATATGTGTAAGCATGTGTATTGCTGTAGGTGTGTGTTATCATTTGGCTCATTAGGGAGTGAGTGAGTATGGTGTGTGTACGTGTGTATAATCGTGTGGGTGAGTGTATAAAGTGAGGCCTCCATTCCTCCTTAAGCATGTCTGTCTTGTGTGGGTGAGAAATGTGGGTAGGTTTTGATTTGTTGATTGTTACCATTATATGTTGTTAAATTTGTGATTTAGCCCGGCTGGGTATTGTGTTTTTAGACGTTGTATCCACTTATTTTCATGGGACTCTAAAATCTTTCTAATGTTATCTGCTCTGAACTTTTCTATTCTCTCAATTATAGGGAATCTGGCATGGGTTTTGAAATCGTGTTTTTCTAGGCGGAAATGTTGTTCTACAGGTAATAACTGTTCATGGGGAGTCGATTTAATTCGCTTACGATAATTATTAATTCTGTAGTTAAAGGGCCATTCAGACTTTCCTACATATTGTTTCTGGCATAGTGTGCATTCTAGGAGGTAAATTATGTTTGACTTCTACAGTTAGAATCGTGGTAGATTTTGAAAAGTAGATTTAGTGATTGAGCTAGTGAATGAATTCGTGTTTTTAATATGGTTGCAACATAAACTTCTTTTGTTGTTACATGGTTGGGAAAATCCTGTTGTTTTTGTTCTCAGTTTCTTACGGATTACCTTGTCCCCTGAAATGTGGTTACTACCTATGATTTCTTTTAGGTTCTTAGGTCTACGATATGCCAGAAGGCCGGGTTCCTTAAGCAGTTTTTTTAGGTCTGGTTTGAGATGTAGTATTTCCCAGCGACGTTTGATTATTTGGGATAGTGGAGGCAGAGTGGGATTGAAAGTGGTTACTAGAGGGATGCGGCTAGATTTATTTTTAATCTTGTATATTAGGGTGTCTTCTCTAGGTGTGGAATATATATATATGGTACTATAAATATAATATTTGTCACATAGCTGATTGTTGTATTATTCAGCATTTCAATTCTGGAGTTTCGCAGAGAATCCCATTTTGTATAAGTTCAGTGCACTCGTCAGGATTTTTCAGCAATTACATATGCAGCGACATATATAATAATAATTAAAAATTCACGTAGATCAATTTCTAATAACTATCAATTATTTTTTGATGAATATAAAGTCGCTTTTCTCAATATTTCTAATGGAAATTTGAAACATTTTTTTTTGTTTTCGTCTCTCAATTCCATGTATAAATCTGGTGAAAAAGTAGAGCAGTTAGAAAATAAACCTGAAAGACAGTTCCCGCCTAACGTATGGTTTATAAATAAATACATAATGAAAGAAAGAGCTTTAAAAAGAATGGGCGTCTGCTATATAAGACGAAAATAAAAGGTGCGATGAGTAAATTTACGCCATTTTATATTATGAATTTCTGCATGCGCGTTTTTTGTTTTGGTATTTTGAATGCATAGTATTGTAGGTTATGTTGAACATCGTCTGTAAGAAAAAGAGCACCATGATGTAAATTTGTTAACGACATCCGGTACGAACAATTTAGAGTGCGCGGTGTCAATTTGAAGACAGTGCAGAGGATTCGGCAAGAGTTGGATATATCTAATGGTGATTATGAAGATGTTTTAAGTGATCATTTGTGATGGCTACGTTATGCCGCCATTCGTCCTCCCGCAGAGGCTCAGACTCAATACTGAAGCCGACATCAAATGCCTTGAGGAGTTAGTGCTGCCCTGTGTTAAAAGAGTGTGTCTGCTGGAGAAACCTATGTTGTCAACAGGGGCATACACCATTCTACACAAGCAGGAGAACCCAATCATAGCTCTCAGAGAATTTCTGCAACCACATCACGCCTTACATCTGGTCACCTAACTCCCCAGACTGCAACCACATTGATTATTTTGTGCGGGGTGCAGTTGAGCGAGGGAGCAACGAAAATCATTGCAACACCAAATATGAACTGAATGCAAAGATTATGGCAGCACCCATCAAGCACCCACAGACCGTCCAGAAGAGATGCAGAATAATCCGAAGACGGCTGGAGTACGTGGTTGATGCCAATGGTGATATAAATTTAGTCTTTAGTATTTCCAGATATTTTTTTGTGTAATTTTGGTACATATATCTGCTAAAATGAGATGTCAATGTTATTTTCAATTTTTCCCGTTAAGACGACAATTTAACGATCGCACTCCGTACAGCATTACATAATAATGAAAGAGGAATGTTGGTTTCGTTATGAAAAGTATACGGCATTAAAAGAAACGAAGAATCATTGAATAAAATCATGAAAAGAATGTATTGTATAAAATCAGAGCAAAATTCAACAAGAAAAGAATAATAGAATGAAATAATAGTCATAAATACATACCTCACAGTGCAAACCTCAAAGTCCAACCCTTACCTCACAGTCGGTAGTGGGGTGTAAACGGTAGTGTCAGAGCTATGCCGCCCGAAACTTCGTTCCTGGTAGGGCCACCCAAGGCGGACAGGTCTGACACACACGCCGGCTAACAAGGGCTCTGGTGAAAATCAAAAAGAGCGTCTGCATCGGTAACCGTCGGCTTCTGGTCGTTCCTGTCTCTGCGTCTGTGGGGAACCCCCTGCGGCAAGCAAGAACGTTATCCGAGTAGGCCTGGGTACCCTAACTTCTGTAATATATCCCAAGAATCTTCTTCTCATAACAGGAAGAAGCCGGCTCAATCCGCCCAGGGTGAATGCCGCATCAGTACATACATACATACATGATAAACATCTCTCAATTTATTAGCATTTTTGTCTGTTGTTCATTCAGAATTTTATTTTTTCCATAATTTATACCCGATCAAACGCTCTGCTCTCGGCTCATAACTAATTATT